CCCCAAAACCCCAAAACCCCAAAACCCCAAAACCCCTAAATCTTTCTAAATAATTGAAATTCAAAAATTATAAAAAATACAAAACTCAATGGAAAATTTAGGAAGAGGTCAAATACCTCTAGACTCAATCGAAGCTGTAGGGCCCTCAGGCTTATTGACCAGTAATAATTTTTCAAAAACTTCTAGCGCCCAAAACAGGCCCACTCAGCAAAGCTGAGCTCGAAGAAATGAAAGAAGAAATCAAGCATGAAGAGACAAAAGAGACGATGAAGAATACAAAATTTGATAAAGCCAAAGGAGCAGTCATTGGTGCTCTCTGTGGCGACGCCATTGGAGCCTTCCTCGAATTCTACGGATCAAAAATCACTGACAAAGTTGGTAAACCAGTGGTTTAATACTTAGCAAAGCAAGCATTATCCATGCCTGGGAAAGGACCACACAATGTAGGCAAAGGCCAGATCACCGATGATGGAGAATTAACCATGTGACTCCTACATGCTCTAGCCAAGGGTGAAGGGAAGTTGAATAACAAAGAAATAGCCAGGTTCTACGCAAAATGGATCAAATCAAAGCCATTTGACATTGGAACCACCTGCAGAAGATCACTCTTTAAAGCTGATATTAAAAATCCAAATCCAACTCGAATTAAAGAAGAGGCTGCTAAATCTGATAGATCACAAAGCAATGGCTCGCTAATGAGAGCAACTCCTCTCGCTGTGTTCTGTCATAGGATGAAAGTCCCAAATACGGAAGACGAGGAAGAAGCCGACTGGAGTGAGCACAGAGACCTCGTATTTGAAGCTGCCAAACAAGACGCCACTTTCACTCATTTGAACGAAAATGTGCTCCAAATCGAAGGACTTTACGTGTACATGCTCACATTGATCATCAATGAAGTTCCCCTCAAACAAGTTCAGGAGATTATTACCACTGAAATAGAAGAGTCCAAGAATGAAGAATTCCAGGAATGGCTCAAAGAGTCCCAAGAAGACAAACTTGGCAGCCTGAAAAAGCAAATGGGCTGGATGAAACATGCCTTTATATGCTGACTAAGGTATCTAAGACTTGCAACTACAGCTACGACCCTTGACTCTACATTCTACGAAGCATCCATGAAGGAGATCCTCAAAGGCTCAGGAGATACAGACACAAACGCATGCATTGCTGGTGGGCTCCTTGGAGCTATCGTAGGCTTCCATAACCTTCCTGAACTTCCAAGGAAAAAAGTCCTCGCTTGGGAGTACAAGGGAGGAAAAGGGATAAAAAGAGAAAAATTCCTGACTCCAAAGCATTATGCTGAATCTCTGATACAAAAGCTTTACGACTGAGCACCAGAAGATCTAGAAATAGTTGACTAAATTTAAAATCCAATTCAACCAAATCCTAAATTTAAGGGGTTTTGGGGTTTTGGGGTTTTGGGGTTTTGGGG